TCCAAGTTAGGATATTTTGGGCATGAAGAGATCCATGAGTACCCACTTTGGGGCACGACTGAACCCACAACATGTTAAGATGACAAGATTCAGACCAAGAAGTTATTGAGAATGAGTCTAGCAACTTTAAGTGTCAGGGGCAGATCGTGAATTTGAACAGAGCTTACCTTGTAAAGCAAATCAACTGAGCATTGATCAATGGCAGAGCCCTGGAAGAATAACTCTGAAAGCATAATTGAGCCAAGGATGGAAATGGGGCAACACAGTCGTATTTCTGACTATAGCAAGATGTTGAGAGAGAAAACACTTTCTCCGAAATGAAGACAGAAAATAACGATGACAAGAAGATAAAAGAAGATCAGAGGGCTCTTCCAAAAAGCAAATTGGAAATTATGAGTTGCTACACGGGTATATGAAGGAAACCCATGAAAAGAATGATCAAGTAGAAGAAGAATAAGTTAACCACTTTGAGGGCAAATGAAGATTAAATCGACATTTATGCATTCATGAGAACATCGTTTGCATAAAAGATAATGCATTACACTGATACATTTAATTGCATTCATGTTTCATGCATAAACACATGATTTTGACAGGTCTTCCATTGAAAAGAGAAGATGCAGGATGTTAAAATCCCAAGTTGAAATGAAGATTTAAAGCCTCAAATGCAAGGAGTTATGTTTAAGGAGGCATACCTTGAAGAATAGAGAGGTATAATCCACAGAGAAAAATTGCTTTGAAGTGAAGACCATCAGATGTATAAGAAAAACAAAGAATTGGAGCAAAGTCAATTTTAAGCCTTCACCGAAAAGGAGTGAAGCAAATCAATCTTAAGCCTTCACCAAGGAGCAGTGAAGTAAACCATCTTAAGCCTTCACCGAAGAGTAGTGAAGCAAATCCGTCCATAAAACTTTCGGGTAGGATATTTTCACATGAATTTGAAAATGAAAAAATAGTGTTTTAAGAAGATGGAATTTTTGAAAACGAAGAATGCGATTTTCAAAATTTCACGATTTATAAGTCCTTCGGGCTATCAGTAAGTCTTTCGAGCATGATGCTTAAATCCTTCGGGTCATCTATAAGCCTTTAGAGCAAGATGATAAATCCTTCGGGCCATCCATAAAATCTTCAGGTAGGATGTTTTCACAAGAATTTGAAAATGAAAAAATGGCGTTTTAAGAAGATGAATTTTTTTAAAACTAAGAATTCTATTTTCAAAATTTCACAATTTATAAGTTCTTCGGCCCATCAGTAAGTCTTTCGAGCATGATGCTTAAATCATTCGGGTCATCTGTAAGCCTTTAGAGCAAGATGATAAGTCCTTCGGGCCATCCATAAAACCTTCGGGTAGGATATTTTCACATAAATTTGAAAATGAAAAATGATTTTTTAAGAAGATGGAATTTTTGAAAACGAAGAATGTGATTTTCAAAATTTCACAATTTATAAGTCCTTCGGGCCATCAATAAGTATTTCGAGCATGATGCTTAAATCCTTCGAGTAATTTTTAAGCCTTCACAAGAGAGTAGTGGAGCAAATCTATCAGTAAGTCTTTCGAGCATGACGATTATATCCTTCAGGTCATTTGTGAGTCTCTCGAGCAAGATGATAAATCCTTCGGGTCATCCATAAGACCTTCGGGCAGGATGTTTTTTTTTACCAAGATAATAAGTTATCCGGGCCATTTTAAGCCTTCTCAAAAAGTGTTGGAGCAGACCATCAGACCATCAAATATGGGAGGAAATCGAAGATTCTCAGGTACAAAGAAGTTGAACAATCCATTAAAAGGGTTTATACAAGTGAGATAGAAGCGAAGGTTAAGAAGAAGATTGAAGAAGGGAAAAATGGCGCTGCAATCGGACAAAATTGGGTTATTATTTATCTTTGCTATGTTCTTCTGTTCACAACAACGAGCAAAGAAGGGCAGCTATAATACCCTAATTTTGTCTGGGCCAGTTAATTTCATTTGAAGATCGGGAATTAATTTGAAGATATTGATGCTCGATGAGGACTTAATTCAAGTGACGAATTATGGGAGTTTGCGTTTGGAAGCTAGAGACGCTTAATTGGATTGATATCGTATATGTTTCGTTTTTGAAAACGAGGGATAAATTAAAATTCAATCCAAAATTCAAATTAAAAGTCTAGTGTCCATTTACAAAACAAGCCCAAACCAGGCTTAATTACAAGACCCGACCATGGCCAGCTCCCACTTGAAGCCATTGCCAACTGCTCACGAGATGCCCATGTTATACACTAACCGAGCAGTAGCCCATACCCTGCTGTTCCAGTTTGGTTCCCCACATCAGCTCCCGTGTGAAATGCTCCAACTGAGCAGACAAGGCTCGGTTCTCCACGAACGCCCATGCAGCTCGTTTCCAGGCATGCACCATACCCGAGCAGGCAAGCTCGGCTCCCCATCACCCGTGACCTGCAACACGCGAAGAAAGAGGGGAATTATTTTAATTTTGGGTTCAACGAAGAGAGGTTCACGAGAGCACGGAACCAGAAACCAACAGTGAGGGGCCCGGCCAGAAAAAACACGACAACAATAGAGAGGGAACGGAGGGAACCATAGACTATCGGCAATCGTCCAAGGCAACCAAAAAAAGGAAAGTAAAAAAAAAACCCCTCCCATTTCGTGTTTTACAGAACAGAACAACAAATTTGTAAAACAACATTGAAAGTTTGAAGCAATCAAAGACTTATCAAGGGTATTCTCCATTTCTCATTTTCATGCTTTTCTCTACGTTTTTACTTCTGCTATATGTGTGCATGTGTACTCCAAATAGGTAAGGCACAGGAAAATAGAAAGGGTTTAGATATCTACCTGGGTTGTGCGAAATCAATGGGATCATCGGGTATTCTAACCCTCGCATGCTCGATCCAGGGCCCAATTTAAGTGCTAGAATATAACTTAGAGTCCTTGTTGGCTTTGGTTCAATGGTTCCATCAGTTGCTTTGGAGGGCAATCGAGGTCATAGAGCGTAGCTAAAGGGATTTGTTTTGTCGTTGGTTTGGGAAGGCAGTCGAGGGTTTAACGGCCACCGATCTGTGGTGGCCGGCGTAGAGTGAGCCTTTAGGGCTCTAGGTCGAGCGGCGTTGAGAGTTGAGGGAGAAGAGGTGCGCCGTTCTGTGAGGAAGAAGAGAATTGATAAGTAAGGGTTAGGTTTAGTTTAAAGAAAGTTTTATATTAGATTTTTAGGGATAATTTCTTTAAGGTCACTACACTTCTGCCGTTGATTTCCATTTTGGTCCCAATCGAGTTCTATTTGTTTCCTGATTTGGACTTCATCTTTTATGCATATTCAATTTAGTCCTGAGTGATAATGTATTTAGCTTCAGTTCTTTATACATTTGATTTGAGATTTTTGCATGTTACTTTTTAGTCCTTAAGTCGGGTCTGTTGTGTTTTTTAATTTGATCTTTTATTTTATGTTATTTGATTTTAGTCATAAAAGTTGATTGTTTTGTTGTTGTCATCTAGACATTAGAGCTCTAGGTTTTTGCATGTTATATTTCGGTCCTGAATGTATTCGGTTTTATTATAGTTTTAGTACACTACGATAACAATGGTTTTATTTTATTTTAATTATTTGAATCGGTTTTATGTTTTCTTTTTACTTCAAATCGTTATTATTGGTAAATTTCAACTCGTTATCATTTAGTACCAAGTTCATATAGTTTATTTAGTTTTTTAACTTTGCATTTTTAATGTGATGTTTCCTTTTCTTTATTTTATTTACATTTAGATATTCATGTTAATATATGTATATAGTTTATATTCTAAAAATATTCATGTGTATTTTTGTATTTAAATATTATTGCATGATATTTCTATGTATATTATTTAGTGATTAGATAATCATAGTAGTTTGCTTAATTAATTTTTGCATGGCGTCATTTTCGTGTAATATGTATGGTATCCTCATGTACATAACTCAACATTATTCATAATTAGATTAAGGGTAATACCCTTTTAATTTAAAATTATTTTAAGTGGGCTGTCTTAACTTATTAGATATCCGCTTCTAACAATTTTAAATTAAAATTGTATCCCATCAGTGACACCTATTAAATTGATTCATTGTTTTAAAATTTGGGAACGGAAGAAAAAGAAATATTCGGCTATTTAAATTTATCGAGAAGAGGTAGTTAGAACTTATCTAAGATCTTGTCTCGATATTTATAAATAATTGAATATTCTTTGTCTTTCTAAAGGTCGGGTATTTTAATTGAATCAATTTTGGTGCTTTTCAATATGATGAAATTCATGTGTTGTTATTTGTTGGGGATCATAAATCAAATTAAAATCGAATTTATAAATTTCATTGCAAAGACATTAATTAATCGACGAGGTACCAATTTAGGACGCAGTAGGGGTGCTAATCCTTCCCTACACGTAACCGACTCCCGAACTCGAATTTTGGTAACGCAAACCTAAATTTGTTATTTTAAAATGACAAAACATTTTTGGGTGTCCAATCACACCCTAATCAAAGATTGGTGGCGACTCTTCGAACCCGTATTTTATCGTGAATGAATTTTCAAATTTTCGAAATGAGAGGTTTTCTAAAATCACATTGTTTTTAATTAAAATTCAATCGTAAAGAGAATAATTAAAAAAAGACGCGGTTTACAGATCTCGTTTCCCCGCCTTTTAAAAATCGTTTCGACAGCTTAGCTATAATACCCTAATTTTGTCCGGGCCATTTATATCCATTCGAAGAGGACCGGGAAATAATTTGAAGGTGTTGGTGCTCGATGAAGAATTAGTTCGGATGAAGTGGGGATATTGATGAGTGATGAATGAAAGCTTGCATTTGGGATAATATGAAAATTGAGGAACTTTAGGTGTTTAATTGGATCGAAATCGTACATATTGGAATTCGAGATATAAATCAAAATTGAAGTTCATTCCAAAATCCAAATTAAATATCTTGAGTCCATTTACAAAACAAAACTAAACCCAAATCAATTACAAAATTGAATCGCCCAGCCCGTTCAACAATCTAAACCCAAGGCCCAGGTTTGACCCAGTCACAACCCGACCCTTTTGTAGAGAATCATTCGGTCACCAGATATGCAGACTTCTGCCCACCACATGAAGCACGATGATCGAGCAGCAACTCGTGCCCCTGCTCCATGAGCACACCACCCCAGAAGCTCGAGCCAACGTTGTCACCCGTGCCCATGTCTCCCACTGCTTCCCGTGCCCTGCAGGTATGATTCCAAGAGAAGACCCCATGTTCTGGCACCTTGGAAAGGAAAATACACGCATCAACAAAAAACGAAAAAACACTTCAAGAACGTGATCAAGCAAAAAGGAGACCACAAGAGGGGTTCGAATAAAAAAAGAGAAGAAAGTGTTACATTGAGGGGGAGAGGACCAACAGTAAGGAAGAAAAAGAATCAACCATCAACAACCATTCGGGGGGGTTCTCGGTTAGTGAAAGAGAAGAGGCTAAAACAGTTTTAGATGGGGAATGATTATCAACGATTGTAAGGGGAATTAGGGGAGCGCAAACTGTAAACGGGAAAAAACAAGAAACAGTGTGTAAACAGAGGGGTTCTTCCCTTCATTTCTTCGAATCAATAAAACAATCTGAGACACCAAAACGAAGAGCAACGCAATATTTTCAAATATTCTCAAAGGTATTTCCTATATTTGGCTTCTACCAAAAACCAGTAGCAATTTATTGTTTCTTTCTTTCCATTGTGAACCAAAATGAATATGAAATAGTAGGAGTGGAAGGGAAATGCTTACCTTAGAGATAAGAGTCTCGTCTTGGTTCGCCGTGGGAGTGGGAAGTGAGAGGAGTAGAACCCGAGGGTCTCGGTTATGTGGGTTAGCTTAGGTTTTGCTTTCGTCGAGTGGCCTCGGTTGAGTTGAGAAAGGCCATCGGGATGGTGGCCAAGCCTCGATTCGGGGACTAGAAGTAGATCGAAGAGTTGAGGGACTGTTGGAGGTCGTTTGGCTTGCTCGGCCGTCGTCGGTGTCTGGGGTTTTGAGTTTGAAGGCTCGGTTTTGTGTGGTGGTCTCGGTTGTTGTAGGTTTTGGTCTTTCTGTGAGGTGGGTTTTGGCCACCGGCGTGCGGTGGCCCATTGAAGTCGTGGAGCCTTTAGGGCTCTCGGTCGAGCGGCGTTGAGAATTGAGGGAGAAGAGAGAGCGGCTGAAGAGGGTAAATGAAAGCTAGGTTAGTTTTTTTTCACTCAAAATACCATATATATGGTATTACTAAAACGACGTCGCTTCGGGTATGGCCAAAACGGCAGCGTTTGAAGAGATAATGGAGATACGTTTTAGCGCTTGAATGGGTTATTCTCAGTTTAAATCCTTCTCAGTTTTCTTTTAGTGCATTTTAATCCGTGGTTCAGTCCTTTAAACGTTTCTGATTATGGCATCAGTCTTTACGCGTGTTGCATTTCAGTCCTGAGGTGTGCTGTTTTTAAGTTTTTATTACTTTTCATATTTGGCTTAGATTTTTCCTGGTTTTCATTTTAGTCCTAGGGTTAACTTCACCAATGTTTTGTGGTTTGGACATCAGGATTCCATTTTTTTTGCATGATTCATTTCGGTCCCAAAAATTATCTTATTAAAGTTTGGTTGTTTTAGGCATTTAATCATGTAATCTTTGCATGTTTCGTATTAGTCCTCAAATCGAATGTTGGCATGTTAATTTTGTCTTTTTATTTTGTGTACATTTAATTTTAATCCTGAATATCATTATATTTAATTTCTATTTTGTATACATTTGACCTCGAGTTTTTGCATGTTATATCTTAGTCCTCGAATAGAATCTTTTCTATTTTTTTAATTTAGTTATCAATTGTTGCGTGCATTTAATTTTAGTCACTCACCAGGTTTATTTATTTCAGCGGTTAATTTCTATTTTTGCATGCCTAGTTTAATTTTCTTTCACTTTGGTCCTCTTTGAAAATTTTGAATATGAGATTTGAGTTATTAATAACACATTTAATTTCATGTTGTTTTACTTCAATGCATGTTCATTTTGTTGTATGCTTGTATGTACCAAGTCAATCATACTTTATCTTAACCTTGAAAATAAGATAAATATTAATTTGGATGTTAATCGATTTAGCATGAAAGCCCTTGTAACACATTAATGAGAATATGATAGATTCAAATATTAATAATTCAAATTTTCCTTTGTAAAATAGATAACCTAAATGCATGTGAATATATTATTTTAAATTTAGATGTTTATTCGAATGTGTGGCATTATCTATTTAGTTTATGTATGATATTCTCGTGTGCATAACTCGACCATACGACATAATTAGATTAAGGGTAATACCTTTTTAATTTAAAATTATTTTAAGTGGGTTGACTTAACTTATTAGATATCCGCTTCTAACGATTTTAAATTAAAATTGTATCCCATCAGTGACACTTATTAAATTGATTCATTATTTTAAAATTTGGGAACAAAAGAAAAAGAAATATTCGGCTCTTTAAATTTATCGAAAAAAGATAGTTAGAACTTATCTAAGATCTGGTCTCGATATTTGTAAATAATCGAATATTATTTATCTCTCTAAAGGCTTGGTAATTTTAACTTAATCAATCTTGTTGCTTTTGAATATGGTGGAATTCATGTGTTGTTATTTGTTGGGGATCATAAATCAAATTAAAATCGAATTTGTAAATTTCATTGCAAAGACATTAATTAATCGACGAGGTACCAATTTAGGGCGTTGTGGGGGTGCTAATCATTCCCTACACGTAACCGACTCCCGAACTCGAATTTTGGTAACGCAGACCTAAATTTGTTATTTTAATTAAAATTAATTTTTTATTTTAAAATGACAAAACATTTTTGGGTGTCCAATCACACCCTAATCAAAGATTGGTGGCGACTCTTCGAACCCGTATTTTATCGTGAATGAATTTTCAAATTTTCGAAATGAGAGGTTTTCTAAAATCACATTGTTTTTAATTAAAATTCAATCGTAAAGAGAATAATTAAAAAAAAGACGCGGTTTACAGATCTCGCTTCCCCGCCTTTTAAAAATCGTTTCGACAGCTTAGCTGTAATACCCTAATTTTGTCCGGGCCATTTAAATCCATTCGAAGAGGACCGGGAAATAATTTGAAGGTGTTGGCTTTTCAAAATCTCGCTCCCCACCGTTTTAAAAAATCGTTTCGACAAACTCAATGAAATGGAATGCTATGTTTATTAATTGAGAGAACAAAGCACAGAGCAGAGAATGTGTGTATGTCACAAGGGCCCAAATTCATGCAAAACTTTGAGAACGTAACCATCAAAATTGATTATATATGACTGTTCGAGGATCGCATCTTACAATTGATTATATATGACTGGAAAAAGAAAATCCTAACTTAAAATTTGTTACCCTTATCTTCTAATGACATATATTTGAGTATGTTCTATTGACTCAATTGCTGATCTGAAGTATTAGTTTGATTTTTAACTTTCTGTGGGTTCCTTTTTTACCAAGCTTATTAAATACTTCTGCTTTGAATTAATTTTGACACCTTCAAAGTTTCAAGTGGCACAACTAATTTTAACAAATTTGTTTTTAGTTTGCTTACTTATCATATTCTATTATTTCATTATATCTCAAATAATGTTTGCATATATCTAATATTTAGTTTTATGCAGATGTATTTTAGGGCCATATCAGTAACATAAAAATTCTCAGAATTTAACTTTTATACTAAAAAATACAAATACAAATAATATTGAATTTAAAAACTTGTGATGTATAATGAAAATGCAACTTATAATCTCTATAATGATTATGGTCATAGTATAAGATCCAATTTTCCAGAAAGGAAAAAAATATCTTGGGATTAAAATTATTCATAGTAAGGATTTCTACTACTCAAAATAATATTTTTAAAAACTTAAAGGCGTCGAGAACGCACAAAAAAAATTATAAATTGAAAATTACAGTTGAGTGTCAAACGATAATTAATGGACACCAACTCTCTTTACTTCTAAGCATAATCAAGAGTTGATAACTCTTTCAAAAAGATATCTATTTACATTAACTTGATCAATTCTAATATCCAAAGCAAATATTATGAACAGTTTGGTGCTTAACGATTTTTGTTTCAGTTTGGTGCCTAATGTTTCATCCGTAACTCAGTTTGGGTCAGGTCGTAACGGGTCGTTAATTTCGACCGTTAAATACCACCTGGCAAGGGTGTAATATTAAAAAAATGATTTTTTAATTAAAATAATAACAAACTAATTAACTGAACTGATGGAGGTGATGGTGTTGATTGCGAAAGTGGAGGGAAATCTTTGGGTTCGATTTCATACTCGATTTGTCTTGAATCAGTTACTGATAATGGTGATCGATCGTGGGCTAAGCTTCAATGTGAGCATAAATTTCATTTGGGTAAGTCGAAATTGTCATGATTTGAAACTTATTTTATCAAGGAATTTTCATTCTCAAAAAAAAATTGAGATTGGAAGATCTGAGCTCGAAATATTGCGCATTTGATTTATTAGGTGTGTTTAGTTTTGGTTTTGATCGATGATGAAGTGAAGAAATCGTAAATATTGAACTTTTTCTATTGCTTATGCTATTTTATTAGCTAAAGATGAAAAATCAAATTTAGCTTCTTAAAGAATAAGTTGAATGAGTGTGAGTTCTTGAATTCAATTTCTAGAAGAAAGGGTGGAGAAGGAATGGGAAGAGAGTGACGGGGAAGAAGGGGGAAGAGAGAGAAAATTACTTAGGGTTAGGGTTAAAGTTAACAAGGTTTTTATCCTTTTTTTTTAATTTTTCAATTTCAATTAATTAAGTTGTTATTATTTTAATTAGAAAATCATTTTTTATATTATATCCATGTCAGGTGGCATTTAAAGGTCCAAATTAACGACCCATCAAAGCCTGACCAATATTGAGTTACGGAATTGAACGTTAAACATTAAACTAGAACGAAAAAATGCTAGACACTAAATTAAAAAAAAATGCATACGTTGAGCACTTTTTTGACGTTTAAGCCTATATATATCTCAAAGATTTTTACTCTTGCATAATCGGATGAACTAGAGAGTTGAAAATATCATATTTATAAGGTGGAATTGTTACATCTATGTTTGCAAAATGAGATTGTTATATTTCATAAATTAAAATAATATTTTATATAAAAAATAATACAACTCAACTAAAACATTTTGTTATTAATTATAATTAAAATAGTATGATCAAAGTCAGAGCTCACTCCTTTTTCTTTTTTTATTGAATAAAAAAAAGTTAAAATAATAGATTTGCATCTAGGTCATAAATATGACGGGCCATAAATATTTCTATAGATAATATGACATAGATCAGATGGAATCGAATTATAAATTGCTAGAGAACATACGAAATATTGGAACCACGCCATTAAACGTTCAAATCCATGAAAGACAATAATGAAACGATCTCGTAAGTATTTTTTCGAGTATGTTCTTCAAAATGGTACAGGTTTATGACAAAACGTTTGTGTTTAATTTATCAACCTTATGCTTCAAACAACTGAGTTTAATGGTGAATCTAAAAATTAAAAATAAGAGTTCAAAATTATTCTTTCATTTTAAAAAATGAACATACAAATTTTTTTAACAATATTAAATAAAATTTAATAGTTTTCTAAAAATAATGGATATATAGTTACTTCCTACTCCATCACATACATCAGTCACCGAGTGGGTCCCACCTTGCATTTGTCATCAACACCAAGCAACATTTTGTATAAGACATATCATTAGAACTACCATATAATCACGTCGAACATGATGTATGTGGTTTTCGAGAATTGGTAAGAGAACGGTGAAGCTTAGGGATGTAAAAGCTTACTCCACCTGTAAAACCGATTAAAACTCACTCAATTCAAAATTGTTTTTGATTTGAGTTGTGACGATCTAAAACCGATTCGATTCGGAACTGGTGTTGCCTTAACCCGAGTTGAACTTGGAAATTGTGGATTTGAACTCGACCTGTACCTGATCTGAGAACGACCTGAACCTGAATTGAATTGAAAATATGATAATCAAACCCGATATGCATCCAATTGATATGAACCCGAACCCGAGACTAACCTAATAAATAATTGATATTACCTAACTTGTTTTCAACCTAGCCTGTTATGAATCTAACATGTAATTGACTCAACATATAAATGATCTGACTTGTTATTGAACTAATATGATATTTACCTGACTTGATATTTACCTAACTTATATATTACCATTGATGAAATTATAAGATTTTAATGAGATTTTGAGATTTTGAGTTTATAATAAATCATACTAATTAATATGATTAATTTTTAAATGTTATAATAAAATATTAGTTATGATAATTAAATTAATAAATGGACTTATTATATTAATTATAATTCTTATATTATGATTCTTATGTTATAAATCTTCAATATAATCATTAATTTTATTTTATTAAGTAATTTATTTATTAAACATGATTAATTAAATTAATTATAATGATTACAAGTTAGAATAATGTATTTCTATTGAACATAATAAAATTAATTTAAATGTAAACTATATAATTTAATTTATGTTTTATGTAATAATTAATTAATAATGCAAAGATAATTTATCTAAAAATGATAACATATATATAAAACATAATATAAAAGATGAATTTAATTGATATTGGAAATCTGAATAACATTTGAATGAAATTTGAATAACATAAATTTATGACAATTCAATACAATAAAATTACAATAAAATGAACAAAAACAAAGTTAAAATTTAAGCTCTCAGATCTTATAACAAAAGTTTTATAAGGCTAAAAGCCTTACTTTGCTACCAGAAATTTCTTAATTGAGCTTTTGTATCAAAATATCTAAATGTTTCCAACATTGTCAAATTACGGGCAACTTTTCAGCTTTAAAAGCCAAAATTTCACCAACATAATTTAACATGAGTAACTATTTAGAAAATAATTTACAAGTTACAACAATTTATTTAAGTCAAACCAACAAAAATATACAAGGTAGCAACAGGCAGAATGCAACATTTATGTATTAAACAAGCATGCAGTCAGTGGTAAAGCCAAAGGGAATACGATGGCCAACAGTGCCAAACATTTTCGACTTTACCAAACCTTTATTGAATCAAACATTCAACAAACATTTAATAACAAAAACAATATCAAGCAGAATCAAGAAAAAAAGAAGAAAGAAGCATTTAGAATGATGCTTGTTGTAACTTGTAAGACACCCTGCAAAAAACAGAAGCATTAATAAACATATCGAAAAATTAATTAAATAAACATAATAAATATAAAAATTAATTTAATAAATATAAATAAACAGAAGTTACCTCTAAAGGAAGGAAGCAAGACAAAATTATTCACAAACCAATTACAATGTTTTGACTTATTGTTAAACACCCTACAAAATTAAAATTAAAAATTAAAATCATTAATAAGCAATTTGAAATATTAATGAAATTAAAATAAAAAATAAATAATTTAATTGCCTTTACATAGCAAACTTATTAACCATAGTAAGATATTCTTTTCCTCCAGTCAAAACCATACAACCAATTACGATTTGTTAAAAAGATCTCAACATTCTTAGGTAAGAGTTTAGCTCTCAATTTGTTCAAAATACGACCCCATACTAAAGGATGATTCAAATGCAACTGAAGTAATTGGAATAGTTAATATATATATCTCCATACGAGAAAGTATCGGATAAGAAATACTTTGATTTTTCCAATACTCTAAAATATCAAAGTCAGATTCTCCAGTACGAGGGACAAGGGATAAACTAATGTAAGAGTCTACATCGGATCGTCCACTCCATAAAGTAGCTAAATTGGCATCAAAATTCTGAAAAATCAAAGAAAATAGAATATTGAAAACATAATAAAATTGATAAAATTGAATATGAAATTATAAAAACTAACCTGAAATATATATGATTTTTTAAATGTTTGAGGCCAATTGGAACTTGAGCCACTTCTGTCTAAAGATGTGTTACTTTGGACAAAAAAAGAACCACAATGTGCATTTTTTGAATAAAATACATATAACTCAAGCAACTCATTATAAATGAGACTTACCCTCCGTTGAACCTCGTCTTCAACATAAAGAACATTGTACAACTCCTTCAGAAGTTCTAATTTATATCGAGGATCAAGTAAAATTATAAAAGACATAATCATTGAATGATAAGACCAATATTCCTTATATATTTCAAGCATGGGTCTTGTCATTGCAGAAATACCTTCACAAGGATCATTATGAGCATCACACAACAATTTTTCAGTTGCAACAATGTTATCCAAATACAAGTTAGAAGTGAAATACTTAAAATTAGAGAACATGGTAGTAATTTCATAAAAAGGTTCAAGAAAATTACAGATTGTTTGAACATCTTGCCACCCATGATCAGTAATGATATCCAACTCATTTTCCCTATTAACAAACAAGTTAATGGCTTATATATCCTCAAGTACCCTATAAATCATCAAGTAAGTAGAATTCCATCGAGTATGAACATCCAATAACAACATACCACAAAAAGAAAAATCATAGTTTTTCACAGCTAATTCAAAGGCACAAAGTCTAGAATCAAAAGAATCAGTAAACTTAACAATTTCACACAATTTAATAACACAAGAATAAATTACCTTCAAACCTTTTCGAACTATCAAGTTCAAAATATGGGTAACACACCTTATATGGAAGTATTTACCATTGCAGGGAAGAGGGGAAATGTCATTCAAATCATCTTTAAGTCTCTTAATCATTCTATCATTTGCAAAAGCATTATCAAGTGTAATGGTAAATGCTTTTTTTCAAGACCCCACTCACATATCATCTTTTTCACAAACTTAAAGATTGACTCACCATCATGAGGATGAGGAAAATGGAAAAAATTCAGTATTTTAGACTAAAGTTTCCAGTTATTATCAACATAATGAGCAGTAAGAACAAAATAAGAACCTGAAGTGCAGGCAGCCCATCCATCACATGTAAAACAAATACAACTTGAAACATAATGCATTGAATCAAGTAGCAAATTTTATGCTTTTCATGCTCCAACATGCAATACTTGGTAATAGTATACCTAAATATATCATTAACAGAATAATTAAAGAAAAGATGCAAATCCCTAAGTTTTTCATGCTCAACAATACTAAAAGCATAACCATGACACATAATAGCCTCAATAAACAATTCACAATATTTGTTTTGATCAAAAGAACTTATCCTACCAGGATTTTCAGTAAGAAATTCCTTATAAACTTGGCATTTCTCAGTATGCCTTCTAGGGTTAGATGTACTAATATAAGAATCAACTTTATACCTTTTCACTTTGCAATACTTACACTCAGCATAAACATAACCATCGGCAGATTTGATGAAGGTGTAGTGCTCCCAAACTCAGATGAACATGTGGCATTCCTCTTAGAGGATTTATTGACATCAACTGCTTTAGACAATTGATCATTTACATCCCCTTAAAAAAACTTAGGGTTAGTATACCACACACATATAAAAATTAAAAAAAATATTCAAGGAATCAAATAGAAAGCTAATGATGCAATTTACCTCTTTCAGAATGTTCTTCATTATGATCTATTGGTGTTTCTCCTACAAAAAAAAAGAATTTATTAATTCAAATATTAAAATTAAAAATATGAAAATAAAAAAGGAATGAAAAAAAATACCTGGAAAGTTGAACTCATAAGATGAACTATCCATGAAACCGTAAAAAATAAAGGTTTCAAATAGAGAGGGGTAATAGTCTTGGTTAGATAAGATGAACAGAGATAGAAGTAGATAAATAGTCTCGATTCAAAATAGGGTTACAGAAAATGAACAAAGACAGAAGAAAAAGATGATAAACAGTATCGAATAGGATTATAGAATATGAACAGAATAAAGAGAAGAAGAAGAGGCTTGGTTAGGGTTTAAGGTTAGAGAAGATGAAGAAAGATAAAAGATGAAGAGTCTTAGTTAGGGTTTAGTGTTAGAGAAAATAAATAGATACAAAAGATAAAAAGGCTTAGTTAGGGTTTAGGCTTAGAAAATATGAACATATGAAGAATAAGAAGAAGATGCTTGATTAGGGTTTGGGGTTAGATAAGAAGAAGTTGAAATATGAACAGTATTGGGTTTGATCTAAAAAATAGTTTTGGTTTTGGGTGTTTGTAAGGATCAAACAAGGGATTGAGGGTGAATATAGATGAATAAGTATTGAGGGTTTGGGGCTTTATCAAAAAAAATATGTTGGACTTTGGTTTTGGGTGTTTGTAAGGATCAAAGAAGGGTTTGAGGATGAACACGAATGAACAAGAGATGAATTTGGGGTGTTTGATCGAAAAATAAGATAGGGTTTGGTTTTAGTGTTTGTGAAAATCAAAGGACGGTTTTTGGGATGAACATGGATGAATAAGGTATGGATTTAGGGTGTTGGATCGAAAAAAATCAAAAGATTTCTAGGTTTAAGGTGTTTTTCGATAAGTTTCTAGAGAGAAGTCAAAGAGTTTTGAGAGAATCGGAGTGTTAGAGAGAGAGAGAACAAAATCACAAAATGAGAAAAACACGAAAAATGATCGAAATTAGAAAATTTTGGTTTATATATTAGTCCAAATTTGGGTCTCTTGGCCCGCGTGTTTTTGAAGTTCAATTGACATTGTACATCGTCCCCATATTTTAAAATTTATTCAATTTAGTCCAAATTTAATGATAAAATTTAAGTTTTATATTTTTAATTCTTTCAATTTATCCCTATATATTTTTCAATTCTTTCAATTACTATTATATGTATAAACTATATACTTTATCTCAATAAACTATAAAATTAATATTAATAAACTATTGTTCATATAGTTTATACTAATGAACTATATAATATATATAGTTTATATTAATAAATTAATACATTTTTTATATTAATGAACTATATAATATATAGTTTATATAGTATATATATATATATATAGTTCATAAAGTTTATATTAATGAACATATATATAGTTTATATATATGGTTTATATAGAGTTTATATATGGTTCATATGTAAACTATATAGTATATATAGTTTATATATATAGATTATATATACAATTTACACATATAGTATATATATAGTTTATACACATATTTTATAATTTATATAGTATATATATTACATATAGTTTATATATAGAGTTTATATAAACTATATAGTTTAAATATGTAATTTATAAATATATAGTTTATATATATACATATAGTTTATACATATATAGTTATAGTGTATATAGTTTATACATATAGTTTATAGTAATAAACTATATAGTTTATATATTGTTCATATATACACTATATAGTTTATATATAGTATATAAATATAAAGTATATAGGTTATATGTATATCATATATACTTTATATATAGTTTATATATAAACTATAAAGTTTATATATATTATATTATTATATACTTTATATATATTATAATTGTTTTAATTTTTTTCAACTTTTAAAATGAATGCAATTTACTATATTTTCCATTTTTTCACATTTTACAATTATTTTGATTTCATCTTTTTATGTTCTTTAATTTATTTAAATTTTAATAAGCTCACTTTCATATTTATTCAATTTAATCCTTAAATTTATATTTGCATATGAATTTGACCCATTCTTATTTTTATTTATATTTTTGTAATTGACCCTTAACCTTTTAAATGGGCATAATTTAGTCATTTTTAATATTAATTTCAACCTCACATTTTAAAATTATTTCGATTTGGTCCCTCATCAATGTGTGTTGTTTAATTTGTTTAATTTTTTTATTTTAATTTTATATTTGTTCAATTTAGTCTTTAAATTTAAAAATAGATCTATGATTATTTATATTTTTAGTAATTTAATCTAAATCATATACAATTACAAATTGTAATTCAACGTTTACGGAATGAGAAAAATAATTAATCCAAAAATAAAAAATGACCCCACCTGAATTCAATCCGTATTCGGTCAAGATCCAACCTAAATTTTATTTGTCAATGATATATCCTGATCTGAACGAGATCCGACTAAAGTCCATCCGATCCGAACTGAAATTACTCGACCTGAATCTGGTGTCAAATCAACCTGAAATGCCCTGAACTTATTTGAACTGGACCCGACCTGATTCTGAACGAGATCCGACTAAAGTCCATCCTAACCTGAATTAACCCGGTGTTTAACTGCTACAGTCTTGAACTGTTTTGACCTGAACTGACATCGATCCGAACTGAAATTACTCGACCTGAATCTGGTGTCAAATCAACCTGAAAATGCCCTGAACTTATTTGAACTGGACCCGACCTGATCCGAGTCGAACTGTAACACCCATGGCTCGTATATTTCTCAAAATACGAGCTAAAGATGTCACACCAACTTAACAAACATTAGTTGAACATAAATACTTAAAAATATGTTCCTTTTTGAACATTTTCTATTTTAACTTTAAGCTTTTACCTTAACCGTATAAAATCATAAAATAACATTTAATCATTGAAACCAAATATGATTTCAAGCAGCGATTAGGCAGTTTGGTGTTGTTCATAAATTATATGAAAATGTCTAAACACTGCTTGATTTTGAAAACCGTTTAAACATAGTATTATATATAAACCATTTATTCATACATACGAACATAAATAAACAACCAAAAATAAAATGTCCTAGTTTACTATTACAAACTTTTTAAAAATAAATTCGATAAAGTAAACCAATTATATAATGAACATGCCACTAATAAGTCAAAGATATGATATCTTACTTATACTGTCGGTAGGTTTGATTTCCAAAAGATGCTCAGAAAGCTCCCCACTTCATTTCATTTTTCCTTATTTGAACATACACATGAAAATCATCACACGCTAAGTAAAACTTAGTGAAGCAACAACATAACTAAAGTGATATAAAACATAAATTTCGCAAAGTATTATAACATAAAACTGTAATTTTAATAAAAACTTTAAAACTTTAAAACCGAGCTATTCAAGCTGATTTCCCCTTGAAAACCTGAAAAATCATCCTCTCGTTATTTTATCAAAAATCATGTAAACCAACATCAAATATCATAAACAACTCATATTTATTTCATTCGTACATATTTCAGAACTTTCATTTCAGTTTCATGTTCTTTTCTTTCATATTCCTCTAATAACTTTCATATTTATTTGTTTATCCCAATGTATATGTAAGAGAATAAAATGTACGTGAGTAGAACATTAGGTGCGCATTGGGCACATCACGGTGTCAATCATAGCTGAAACATATAATGCTCTTTAAGTGCAATCATAAAATGAGCACCAACGATGCATATAACTGGAAACTGAT